TTTATATTCTTTTTTTTTATTTTTTTTTTTTTTTTTTTTTTTTTTTTTAAGGATTAATTATTTAAGGGGCTAGAGAGGTCAGTAAGGACCTGTTTTAAATCTTGCTGCTTGGAAAAAAAAAAACTAAATTCCACGTGCAGTTGGGCTGCCTGTACCCCTGTACGGCAAGGGTTAAATGTGCGGTTAGGTCTAGGGTATCGAGGATTAAGGAGTTTTACTTTATCCTTGCTGTGCTGGTATGTGGACTGCCCTCCGCATCCTCCTGTGTAATGCAGCGCTATGGGCCTTGTATATTACTTGATAAAGAAGGGGATCTTGCTGCACTCCTTACCGGATATTCCTAGTGATAGGGAGGCTGCTTGTAATGGCCGCGGATGGCACCGCTGCATACATAGATTGGTCGTGAAGAATGTCACCAGCACAACGAAAAATGCTTTTAGCATCACCAAATGTTCATTTTATTGAACAAAGCGTCAACAGTGAAAACAAGCGCTTTCGGGGCCACACAGATTTCTTCGATTGTTCGAGCCTGATGAAGGGACCCTGCATGGCCCCGAAAGCGCTTGTTTTCACTTTTGACGATTTGTTCAATAAAATGAACATTTGGTGATCCTAAAAGGATTTTTCGGTGTGCTGTTATTGTATTTGATGTCAGCAGACCTCCAACCACCAGAGGGGTGGAAGAGCCTGCAGGTGCCGGTCTTGTAGCCTGAGGGAGTGGGGAACGGGTAAGTGAAAGTCCTCTTTTCAGATACCCTAGACATAAACAAGCATTTAACCCTTGTAGTGTCATGGCAGCCCCACTGCGAGTGGAGTTTTTTTTTTTTTTTTTTGGTATTCCCGGAATTCAGCTTTAAGAATATATACAGTACTTCAAAGAATAACATTGTCCATTTTGACAGGAAGGGTCTTGCATAAATCTATGTGAAAGCAAAACGCATTCCTTTTAGTTCGCATGCTCTATTTTAAGCACATTGCAGATGAACCTTATCTTTTGAATTTTTATACAGATCCTGAAGTCAGTATGTCCAGTCCTAGTATGCCTGTGAAATGCCTCACCCCAAACCTACTGAAGTCTAGAGCACGGCAGGGCACCTCCAGTACCAGCAGCCATTCTCATATCTGTGTGTCCAGCATGGAGTCTGATTACTGCAGCAGTCCAAAATGGGAAAATCCTAACCAGGTCAGTACTGTGATCCAGTATGAGTGCATACCTCTGTGTTATCCATAATAAGTTTTTAAAGTGTATCTAAACTAAAAATTTAATATATTGCAGCCTACTAGTCTTTAGATGAGGTGGCTAAATTTGTCAATTTATCTGGTAATACTGCGAATAACACACTTCCTGTCCCTGGGTGACCGTACTCACTCATTTATCTATGGGGGCAGATGTGCTTCCTCGATTTTGTTGAAAATGTTCTTGGTCTGGAAAAAGAAAATGAATGCAGCCACCACATCTATGGACAGGGAAGATTGTTGTTCTTGGATTTAGTTAACCTTTTAAAAATTTGATTTAATGCGTTTAAAAAGCACCTATAAGGCTGGTGGTCACATTCCCTGGTCACTGTATTTGGATCTCTTTGGTTGTTTGCTTGATGGAGGGCAGCAGGGTAAACCGATCCTAGTATCCATATCAATAGCGAGTATTTGGTTGAGTACTCGTACTCACCTGAATGCTCCGATACCGGAACTTCCAGCCAGAGGGAGATCAGTAGTGCTGAGGGAGCATTGGGACGGCTTCCTTTCCAATCAGGAAGCCAGGTGGCATGTAATGACCCGCCTCCCGGCTTCCTGATTGGTCAGGCAGTCTTGGCAAGTGAAGCCTGTTTTTTTTTTTTCTTCAATAGAACACCGGCTTCCCTGGCAATCAGGAAGCCAGGAGACGGGACATGATCCGTCGCCTGACTGACTGAGACTCGGGGCACACGGCACCAGTATCGTTACTCTGTACCAGCAAGTGCCCCAAAAAAATATTGGTACTCGATAATGAAAAAACGGTATTGGTGCATCCCTAGTAATTTCTGTAAATTTAATTGATCAGTTAAAAATTTGTAACATTGGCCCCGGTTATCAGTAGATCTGATTTTTTTTTTTTTTCTTTTTTTAATCATCCAACTCCTACTACTGATTTTAATTTACAGCAACTGGAATGGAAATGTCACTAAAGTTCACTTATTATTTTATTTATTTTTTAAATAATCTTTAGGATCCGGATGGGCCATCATACTTGCGTTCAAGCCGCTTGAAGAACAGTATGTTGGATAAATCGCTGAGCAAGATCCATGTGGGGAAAGTTGCCAAGAGTATAAAAGATTTGGAATCCGCCTTCTCCCCCATCGTTCGTCGCAGGACATACAGAAAGTCCGAAAATCCAGAGGACACAAGTGGGCTTGATGAAACTCCTAATAGCAGTATAAACACCAAGGGCTTCATCCGAAAATGTCTCTATGATCCTAGCACACAAGAAGAAAAGGAGAACTTTGGTGCGAACACGAAAGGACTTAAACATTTGCCAAAATCTCCAGAATTCCCTCCATGGCTGGCTAGTGCCTCATTGAATGATTTAGCGGACACTGAAGATGAAAATGCAGAAAGACCCGCAAACAAAAGAAGTTTTTCACAGGTTGAGACAAGCCCCGGGCAAGACGCCGCAGAAAAGAAAAATAATTCCCAGTATAAACGTGCATATAAATTATCGGAGGTCCAGGTTAACCCGAGCACGGGTTTAACCATGGAAATTGAGGCTCTCCTTCTTAATGACCTCCGAAAAGGCGTTTCGAATGCAGAGAATCTGGAAAATGTGTTTGTACCCGCACCACACACTCTGGAGAAGTTGGGCTCTCCAAACCTGGTGGCCAAGAATTTGTTGTGTGAACTAGATGAAAACTGTGAGCAGGTGGAGGGTCCTGATGCCTGGAGATCAAGCCCCAATAGGGATTCTGACCCTTCTCCTCCTACATCTATGGAAAAGGAGATTTCTGATGTGGATAAAAGCATGAAAGAACTTTCTGTTGAGTCCCAAAATGATGTTGGCGAGGGCTCATCTACAGAAGATTTCGGTATCGACGAAACCGTTAAACATGACCAAAAAGAGAATGAATGCAGGGGGCGTGCCCTAGCCGACATCACCAATAATGCCTGGGCATCTCCCGCCACCACCAGGATACCGCCCAATTCTAAAAAGCGTCCTGTTGTGGCTTTCAGAAGCTATAATAGCTCCATCAATGCTTCACATATCTCGGAACCTTCCAGACTGAGTATTGGCTCGATGGACAAAATACATTTCTCTCTGGGTTGTACAGGATCCTACCCATTGGCTGTTACTCCGGCACAAAAGGACAGGGCACTCAAGAATTTTCAGGTATAAAACACATTGCAGTAACAAGGTAAAACATATTGCTCACAGAAATGGTGTCAACAATATATAGTACTTATTAAAAGAGAACTATGATGCAAGTGCTTTTCACTCACCTCATAGTTCTAGCCGACCTGTGACAATGAGACTGTCACAGGTCGGCTCAGTAGATCGGGAGGTGAGCGAACACATACCGGGGGTCGCTCACCTCTCGATCCTGTGACAGGGGAGGGCCTGGATTCCCCCCCTTCCCGCTCCGATCCGCCAGCGCTGACTGGGGCAGGTGGCGGGTACAGCTGGTTCTGCCTCTAGATAGGCAGAGCCAGCTGTCACTCACGCAGCTGGGTGGATCCAGACATAATTGTCGGGATCCGCTTCAGCTGCGGCGTCTCAGTATACTGAGCTTATGGTGACGGGAGGATGCTAGTTTGTGTCCTCCCGTTACCCTAAGGAGAATGATGGGGAAAAGCCTTAACCCCATAGTTCTCCTTTTTTAAAGTAGCATTAAACGTCTTTTTTTTTTCTCCCAATAATGAATCCAAATCAGACTAACATGTTGCCCAGCAAAGAATTTCTTTAAATTTTTGCCGAAGCATTTACAGTCATCATGTTTCAAAACGGCTCCAACTCTCTCAGCTCTACATCCCTGACCGTCATATTCAGTGTAAGATCACAAGGAACAGATCAGTCTCCAGCAGCTGTTCATCTACCAGCTTGGGGAAGGGAGGAAGGGGAGCAGAGGAATAGATTGCTTTCCTGTGTGTTTGTGGAATATAGAGAATTCTTGCTGCACTCCTCACTGGAATTCCCACATGGGTAAAAGATGGGTGCTTGGAATGACTGCGACTGGTGCCGCTAACAAACGGATGGTAGAAATATGTCACCCGCATACCAGACCAATTACTAAAGCCAAAAAAGTCCATTTATTGACGTGCTGTCTTTCAATTGTAAGCGCTTTCGGGGCCACGCATGTCATCAGACATTTGAGTCTGATGACGGGGACCCCGTGTGGCCCTTAAAGCGCTTGCAATTGAGAGACCGCATACATCAGCAAATGGCCGTTTTTTTTGCTTTAATGATTGGTTTGGTGTGCTGGTGACATATTTCTACTATCTGTGTGTTTGTGGAGATGCACACAGAGCTTACTAGTACACCCAAGGGTGGCTCCAAGGGAAAGGAACCAGCTTAAAACCTAAGGGCCAGTGCTCAGAGGACCAGCTGAATCTAAAGGAAACTTAAACTTTTAGGCTTCATTCCCAGAGTGTAGAGTTGGGCCGTACAGATCCGTGCACGGGCGTATCGGGCCGTTCCCGGGAGTGACCGGTGCTGCCCGTGATTGCACGCAGCAGTCTGTTCTTCCCTGTTGGAGGACGCGGCTGTAGGCACACCCGAGCTGCACATCCTTACGGGCCTGGGTGTCCGTACTCGGACGCAGACAGGATGGATCCTGTCTGTGTCCGAGCACGGACCCGCTATGTCAGCGTAAAGGTCCCCACACACCTTACGATGATCGTACGATAATTGCGGGAAATCCCGCGATCGTACGATTATCGTAAGGTGTGTGGAAGCCGTGCGAACTTTACTACTGTAAGGTCGCACGACTTTTAACTTACGGACATGTTTGAAAACCCGCCGAGCATCATAAGATGTTCGGTGGGTGTGTAGCATGTTCGTACGATAAAAGCCGTACGGGCCGGTGTGCGCAAGCGCACACTGCCTGTTCGGCATTGCGGTCATCGGAAGCCCGTCCCTCAGGGGGCGTGGCTTGCGATCATCGCATGTGCGATCTACCTATGCAAGATGGGCAGATGGTACTTTTTTTTAAGTACCTTACAACCATCGCAAGACAAAAGTCTTGTGATGGTTGTAAGGTGTGTGCCCAGCCTAAGGCGGTGTCCTCCCATAGGGAAGAACAGGCTGCTGCGTGCAATCACACGCAGCACCTGTCCCTCCCGGGAACGGCCGTGCACGCCGCACTGATCTGTATGGCCCCACTCTACACTCTGAATGAGGCCTTAAAACATGAAGGAGCAGCATCCATTGTAAGTGTTTTTAAGCATTTGAAATGGCTTAAAAACATTTTGACTTTAAGGTAAGCTGCAGTCAGGCCACAAGGGACAAAGCCTTCCATGTTGGTGCCTTTGTAATTTTATCTCGGCATTTTTATTTTTGTGTCTGGCAGTACTCCCATAAATTCTTTGCAGCAGTCTGTCCTCCTGAAGCTCTGTTTTCTAGAGGCTTCAGTTACACAAGTTATAGAATTATAGCTTCACCTATAAGAGGGCTTATGTTGCAGGCCCCCAACCCAAACCCCTTCAATGTTTTATTTCCTTATAAGTTTCACTGAGCTTCCTCTGGTCAACTTTCCACTGTGAAAGTCCTATAATAAGTATGCAGATCAGAATTTCTGACATTCCTGTTCTCGGGTAAAATGTTAGAACGTACTGAGAACAAAGGCTGGCAAGAAGCTGGTATTTTTGGGGCAATCATAAATGGCAGTACAGGTTTCCCTTTAAATTGGGACAGCTCTTTCTGAAGACCATCACATTTGGATAAATCAATAAATCTGGAAGTCTATCTCAAACCAAAACTTTCTCTGTTTTTGGATGGAGTTGGGAGGGGTTAAGCTGGCCATACACCTCTAGGATTATCTGCAGATTTTCTATGGTGCAAGAGATTCCTCCATCTATGCTAAACTGTGCTGATGGAGGAATCTCCCACTGGGCCAAGCTTCAGTATCTTGCTAGTCGGCCCCGCTGGCTCTCAAAACACCTGAACAATGCCTACATCCAATCAGAGTGTTCAGGTATTTTGAGAGCCAGCAGGGCCGACTAGCAAGATACTGAAGCTTGGCCCAGTGGGAGATTCCTCCATCCACACAGTTTAGCGTAGATGGAGGAATCTGTTGCTCTTTTTCCATCTGACCATAGAAATTCTGCAGATAATTTATAGGTGTATGGGCAGCTTTAGAACTCTCAAGGTGCCTGTTAAAGTTTGAGTTGTCATGTGATGTCCTGAAAACCAGGGTGCTCTAATAAGCAAATCTTGACTTTGGCCATGAACATCGAACTGGAACCCCCCCCCGTCCATTTCAGTTTTGTGTGATAGACAGCCGCACTGTGCCAGCAGCGGGAGGGTATTGGCTATCTCTTGATTCATTTTCTCGTCAAGTCTGTCTTTGCATAATGGAGCACCTAGAGGTTTTGGCACCCAGGGCTTTGTAGAGAAAATGAGTCTATGAACTCGCCTGTTTTTCACTCCCAGTGGCAGTTTATCCGCTATGAGGGAAGTACATGTCCCTGTAAGGAATATTTGCCATATACCTGCTCAATTCATGTTAAGTATTTGATGACAACTGTATATGGAGACGTTGCCTTCTACAAAGACCTAAACTTCTGCTGTTGAAATTGGTGGATGACATAACTGCGGCAGAAAGCATAGATTCACTTTATTGAACTTCTGTGTTTTTCTTTAGGGTCTGGCAGAGACACCATACAGAACACCAAAGAGTGTGCGTAGAGGAGCGGCGCCAGCTGAGAATGAGAAGATTCTGGGAACACCGGACTATCTGGCTCCAGAGTTGCTACTGGGACATCCACATGGTGAGTTTCTATTTCTTTATTGGCAAGGAAGGAATGAACTGTGACCTATAATCATGTATTCGGTTCCAAGAGTCTGATGTGATGCAAAACCAAGCAGATCTCTGATTTTGACACCATATTCACAATGGGTTAAATAAGAACCAAATCCTCTGTAATGCACGATATGAGTAGGCTCCCTGTTTGATATTAAATATTTTGCTTATCCATATTCACAGACAGCTGCTTTTTGTTATTTAAATTTCAACCAGTATAAGTTCCTGAATCTCACTTGGAATCGGCCTCTTGCAATGGCCTAAACAGCAGAATTCAGACTGGGAGCAAATGTAGTGCCAAGGGACATGCTGTTAGAGAGCAGGGAGGTCACCTGATCAGTCTGTTGCTGCTCTTTATCCAGTTAGCAGGTTGGAGGCAGTAAGGTGACACGACTTTATTCATTAAAACTAGGGATGTTCAGAGACCAGTGCCGATACTTGGCATTTTCATGAACTACCACGGTTGCAGCTGGGACGCGGCTCTGGCGCTCCACCACTGTCCTGGAATCATTAGTCTGTATTGTTTTAGAAAAACGGTAACATTTTTGTTTATTGTCATGTATCGGTACTTGTACTTGCAAAAATGGTATCGGTTAGGGATGCACCGATATATCGGCCACCGAAACAAATCGGCCGAAAATGGCACTTTTGGCTAAATGCTGAAAATGCAATTTTCCTGGCGATACATCGGCGCATCCAAGGTTTCTTTACTCCCCGCTGGGCACTGCTCTGTGTCCCAGCGGGGAGGAGAGAAGGTGACAGCCGGCTGAGCGCTGCAGGAGGAGAGTGCTGTGAGCGGCTGGTGTCTCTCCTCCCACACCGCTCAGCCTCCTATCAGTCTGGCAGAGCGGTGTGGGGGCGGAGACAGTGCTGTTACAGGAAGAGGCTGGGCTCGCCTCCTTGCACTGATCGCTCAGCCTCCTGTGACAGCGTGTCAGAGAGAAGAGCGAGAGCAAACACTCAGCGATCAGTGTTCGCTGAGTGTTTGTAGATAATTGAGGACATAGTATGGTTACTATATCCTCAATTGTGAATGAATGGGAAGTGATCTATATCACCTCCTGTGTATTCATAGTTGGTTATAGTACACATACTATGATCTTAAGGTATGAATGAACAGGATTCCTGTTCATTGATAACAGGGGCTGCAGAAAAAGATTATAAAAAAATCAATAAAAATGAAATATTGAAAAAAAATTAACATTTTTGGTTTCGGCCTGACAATTTTTTTTATTTCAGTGCACCTCTAGAATCGGTGCATCATATACTAGGGCTGCAGCTAACTTATTTTCATAATCGATTAGTTAGCCGATTTATTAAGTTCGATTAATCGTATAATATTGCTAGGATTTGTAGTCCTCTATAGCTGGTGGTATTCTCCATTGCACTGTATAATGATTATACTGCGCAATGCAGATTACCACTGACCAGTTATAGAGGAACTACAAATCCCAGCAATAATACATTATACCGGGTGTTTAATATATTATTGCTGGGATTTGTTGTTCCTCTATAGCTGCTGGTGTTCTACAGTGTGCCGGCGTTGATCATGTCGGCGGGCAGCGGCAAATCGGTCAGCGCACCGGGAGGAGAGGGCCAGACACATGTCCTCAGCGTGGCGTAAGCGGCGTCACGTGAGCGGGTATACCGGCGTAGGCGCGAACGGCGTAGGCGTAAGCGGCGTGCAGCGGGAAATTTGAATTTTAGCCGATGAATCGACGATGGAAAACGTTGACAACGTTTTCCATCGTCGATTTTAATCGACTTAATCGAATAATCGAATAACTGTTGTAGCTCTATCATATACCATGTATGTATGTATGTATGTATGATGAGATCTCATACATTAAAACAGGAATGCAGAAATCCCGGGAGCTCCGTAATGGTCTTTTAAAGATGGCAGCTGCCTCCTAACTTTTGAGTTTTCCTCTAGTCTTGGAGCTGGAAAAGTATCAGTACTTGTCCCGAGTACGGTACTTGGTATTTGGACATACCTATTTAAAGCTGAACTCCTAGCAGATATTAGACGCACATTAATACAGCTCTGATTCAGAAGTACATCAATAATTATGTTTTTAAAAATGCAAGCGGAGCAAGTACCTGAATATGACTGGCTATGAGCCTTGTTCAAGTCACTGTACAGCAGAACACATATTACCAAAAAAGGAACGGTAGGTTTAAAATCTGATTCTTTTAATTGGAATGGTTGCTCTATGGAACATTTACATGGTTGTGTGTCTGGTCAGTGTTGGCATCTGCCAGTTTTATTCTACCCTTTTATCATTTTCTTTAGTGAGGAGCAGTTGCCTTCACCACTATAATGTTGTATTTTCTTTGTGCACAGGATCCCTGAGGTGCGGTAAGTGATACATTGCTGCTTTGGTAGCGGGATGCTGCTTTAGATATTCAGTCAAAGTGGAATGAGATCAGTGTTCACATTCTATTGTCCCCATCACTCCTACACCCCATGATGTTCTACTAGCATGTAAATGAGCAATGGTCATTGTGATACATTAAATGTGCAAATCTTTGTAGGAAATCTTGACCTGCTGTTTGTGTCATGACATTGAGAATAATTTATAATGTCACAGAGCACACATGGAATCACATTGTGCAAATCTGTATAGGAAATCTCCACCCCATGGTGCCGTGACATTGAGAGTAATTGATAGTGTTACAGGATACAAGCTGAATCACTGTGCATACATTCTAAGTGTAAGTCTTTGATGAGCTGGAGCTGGACACCATGGAAGGTGTTTTAAAAACAGCCAATGAATGCTCTGCAATCCAAAAAGAGAAATCAATCAATTGAATCTGTACTTTGGAAGCAAGCATAGCACACAGGACTAGTTGCCAGGATCTCTTATGGCCTTCCTACAGCTGATCTTTTATTACTGACTTGCCGGGTCTTGTTCCATATGTACTGGAAATGTTAGCATGTGATTTGTTAGCAAACGCGTAGAGGGCATAGCATATCGCGATCAATACGCCAACGTGACAAAAAAAAGAGAGATATACTGTGGGAGGAATTTATCAAAACGCGAGCAGACACAATCTGGAGCAGCTGTGAATGACAACCAATCAGCATCCACCTTTCATTTTCAAAGCTTACCTGAACAAACCTGAAGAGAGAAGCTGATTGGTTTCCATAGGCAATTGCTCCAGATTTTATCTGCTCCAGTTTTGATAAATTCCCCCCTGAATATACTACAAGGGTTAGGTGCTTGTTTTGGTCTAGGGCCATAAATAAAGATATACTCACCTGATCCTCAGTTCTTCTTCGGCAGTCAGGCCTCTCTCCCCCTCCAGCTTACCTCTCTCGCGGTGAAATGTCCCTCAGCGTCCTCACCTCTGATGCAAGTCAATGGATCTGTCAATGTCATGACATCAACAGTCCTTAGACCACGAGAGCCCAGGGAAGAGGAGGCTACGGGGACCGATCAAGCAGCCAGGCGGTTCAGAGGATCATGTGAAAATATTTCCTTTTATTTGCGCCCCCTAGACAAAATGAACAGTTAACCCTTGCAGTCTGAGGGTAGCAGCACTGCAAGAGTTAAGTAGGGTATATATTTTCTTCATTCAACCTGTGGGCTGAACAAAGGCAATATAACAGATTTCTCCCTCCTCGCTGAGCAGCAGAGATGGATGAATTGCCTGCCGGCCACTGTCTGAATACCGGGATGGAGCTTGCAGTTCTTTGACTGCAAGCTCCGTTCGGCCGAAGATTTTCCAACATGTTCCTTTGGCAAAAGTCGATCTAATGATCAATGGCTGCTGAAGGAATAGGGTCACCAATGGAGCGAAATTCACTCCGTTTCGCAGTTCTTGGAGTTCCTCTCTAAGATAATAAACCTTCATTTTTGAGTTCAGCTTCACTTTAGATGATTTCAATGCAACTACTGTAAGTATTTCAGTTTGACTTGAAGACTAACGACTAGATGGTGATAACATATGCTGATAACATATGCTGATAACATATGCTGATGGTGATAACATAGCTGCTTGTATTTGCCACCTCACAAGTGTCGGCTTCTTTTTTGCTGCATGGTATGCCTAGACTGGTGGCATGGTTCTTTATAATGTGTCATTTTGCTCTATTAATCCTTCACCTCACTGTGATCTGTATAATGTACATGTCATCCATCAGACCGCAGATTGGAACAGTGGGGTGAAGACTCTATGCTGCAGAACATTTCTTTTCAGACTACATTTCTATCTTCCCGTGAATACACATTCCATGTATTTGAGTCGGGCTGCAAATGTCATTTTCTCGTACTTTTGGTGACTCGTTTGCAGAGCATTTGATGTCTAAATCTAATCCAGTGCGGTAGAGAATAGGAAAGCAAGGGGTCTTAGAAAAGTTCTATATAAGAAGTACAACACAGATTTTATTAAGAGGAGGATTATGTATGTAATTCTTTTTCTTAAAGTGACACTAAACTCAGAACCTAAACCTTAAAAATACATTCAATTACCTTAACTATTAACAAAACTCTTATTTGTGTATCACTCGGCTGCAGATCCTCAAATCATGTCGGAATTGGTGCTGACACTGTCCTTCCTTCTGGAGGGGGGCTACTTTTGTTCCCCATGGTCCCTGTGTGTGTGTGTGTGTGTTTTAAAGTAGTCACAGCTCCAAGATCACTCCGGATTATAAACGAAACATGAGATTGTAGTCCATCACAGGAGTGAGCTTGGAGCGGTGACTACTTTACAACACACACAGGGACCATGGGGAACAAAAGTAGCCCCCCTCCAGAAGGAAGGACAGTGTCAGCACCAATGGAGAGATGATGATCAGGTGACTCTTAACTGGTAAACGTCTGTACAGTAATGGAGTAGGATTGTGATGATATACTTATGCTGATCTACAAAAAATTACATTTGTAGGAAACTTGCACTTCTTTATGATCAAGACTTCCCCTAAGTCCGTCTCAATCCTGGTAACGCTTAGTCCAGCCTCCTGTGATTGGGAGGGATTATGTTATTCACAGAGATATTGTAGCCACTTTGTGAGCTCCTTTTTAAACCTAGATATTTCCTTGTAAAAGTAGTGGTGATATCACTGTGCTGCACATAGCCTGTGCACGAACAGAGCGGCAGGTCCAGCCACTACAGGCTGCCTGCAGAAAACTAGAGGGGGCGGAGACGAGACCAGTCACCTTTCACAAGGATAGAGAGCAGCAGTAACAGGTCTTTATTACAGGCAAGGAGCAGGAGTTGTTCCATGCTGGATAACTGCACAGATCTGGAAGAAATACAGAAAAGACGCCAAGATTCAAGTAAAAATACACATGCCGCTTGTATTTGGGGCAATATTTGTCTTGCTTGGAGTTCAGCCCTAATTTGGCTCAGGTTCTAGTTTAAAACCTGGAACTTGAGCGAAGTTTTCTTCTTTGCATGAAGGATTTCGTGTGAATGTTCTGCATACCTTTTCAGTATTTAATTGTTGTCTCTCCCTTTTAGGACCTGCAGTGGACTGGTGGGCCCTTGGAGTTTGCCTGTTTGAGTTTTTGACTGGCATTCCCCCTTTTAACGATGAGACTCCAGCACTAGTGTTCCAAAATATTTTAAAAAGAGGTATTTGATTTACTTCCTTAAAGTGACCCTGTCAGCCATTTTAAATTCTTTACAAGTAAAAGTGCTGCCCTAGAGCTGGCACCGCAGGATACCTGCAGCCACCATCATTGGCCATCAAGTCGTTTTCTTGTGGATTTCACCAACTTTGTAACCAGCCCTGCCCATCTCTTCTCATCTGGTCTAATGGGACTTTCCTTACTGGCCACTGAGTCTCTCATTGCACAAGAGATGGTTGATACCTGGGCCATACACCCAGAATTGGTGATCCTGTTTGAAATGGCTTTCCAGCTTCTTCTTTTTTCCTACCGTATGCAGTTATGACATCTGTGTTCTTAATCTGTTTAATCCATTTTGTGACTTGTGTTCCAATTATTTTGCATTTCTCAGACATCCCGTGGCCAGAAGATGATGAAACACTTTCTCCTAATGCTCACAGTGCAATCGATATTCTGCTCACCCTCGATAACACAAAGAGAGCCGGATTAAAAGGTAAAGTCTGCCTCCATCGTCACAGCTTGGAGGACATTGCGATAAGTCTATAACCCTAAAAATAACCACCGAATACTTTTCCAGCTGATCTAGACTGTGACATCGAAACTAAAGAAAACAAAATGCCATCTATTTGTTTTTTTGGGAGGGATAAATCGGTGTATGGTGTATGGTGTGCGTTGCTGTCTGTTATGAAGATCTCCTTTCGTCTCTGTGGTATTCAGGACATGAGAGAGAGATAGATTATATATAGATATATGTGGAGGTCTCTAATCTCTATCTATCTGGCCATACACCTATAGATTATCTGCAGATTTTCTATGGTCAGATGGAAAAAGTACAACAGATTCCTCCAACTACGCTAAACTGTGTGGATGGAGGAATCTCCCACAGGGCCATGCTTAAGTATCTTGGCAGTCAAAATACCTCAACAATCTGATTGGATGCAGACATTGTTCAGGTATTTTGAGAGCCAGCGGGGCCGACTAGCAAGATACTGAAGCTTGGCCCAGGGGGGAGATTCCTCCATCCGCACAGTTTAGCATAGATGGAGGAATCTGTTGTACTTTTTCCATCTGACCATAGAAAACCTGCATATAATTTATAGATGTATGGCCAGCTTAAGTCTAGCAGAGCTGGAACATTTATACACATTTAGGGATTTCCCCTCACGTTCTCTCCCAGTGGCATGGGTCATCAGAACAGGAAATGGAAGATAGATCTTCAGAATGGGCACACAGACGGCAATAAAACGGGTCCTAAACCTTTTACTATGCAATCCTAAATCGTTTGAAGTTCTGCTCTAATTATATATGGTCTAGAGATCTCTTGATGTAGATCTTGAATCCTCATTAAACACTCTGACCAAAACAGTGCATACTTAAGCAGGGAGCGCTGCACCATCTGACAAGTTTTTGGGGCCTGTTCACATGAGGGCCACATGCTACAGTGCTTTCAGACAGCCTAGTCACCTGAATGGGCTGCCAAAGCATAACAATGTACCAAAATGTGGCTGACGCACAGCAACACATTGTGTTAACGTACATTGCAGTGCGACGCTACGCCATTGATTGTGAATGGCATCCCAACGCATGTAACCGCAGTGCACTGGTGTAGATGGGCTCTTAATGTTGTCAGTTGTCCCTATCGGTACAGTAGGTGTGCAGGGTCATTGGCCATTGCTTCCGAAACTGTCAAGTGTGCGTGTATTCGGTGACCGTTAATTAACACATGTTAAACTGTAGAAGGTAAAAACGTGTGGCGGTGCGATCAGAGGGTTTGCAGTCCGCAAAGAGAAAGTTATTTCAAACCTGTCTGAAGTTTAACAGACTTCTGAGAATGAAGTTTTGATGGGTGACAGGTAGGACATCTCTGCAGATCAAATAAAAGGTGGCACTAACATGAAGTTTTTATTTTTGTCACAGAACTGAAGGCTGACGCTCTTTTTCATGGCATAGAATGGGCCAATTTGCACAACCAGGCCATGCCCTTTATACCGCAGCCAGACGATGAAACGGACACCACGTACTTTGATGCCAGGAATAACGCGCAGGATCTCAAAGTCTCTGGATTCAGCCTATAGCTGTGCTTCTTTCTGGAAACGCCTCCTATCATTGTCTACTGGGAGAATTTGCATATTTTTATTTTTTTTTTAAACAAAATCTGCTACACGGTTTGCTTTTAACCAGAATGTTATCTCCTTTCTTCTTCCCTCCCCCCCTTTCACTGTACAGAACTGCATTCATTATATTTAAATTAAGTTTGGCATCATAATTTATGTATATATTGTGCCTCCTTGGACTGGGTCCGTCCTGTTTGTACCTTTTACAATAAGCTATCTATTACAGTTGTAAATTTTTATGTAAAATAAAGTAATATAATTTGTGAAATCTGCTCTTAAGTGTTACAATAATGTGTGCGTGAAAGTAGAATGTAGCTTGTATATGGCAACCTAATCCTTGTTTTTGACCCTGCGGTAGCTGTGCTAGGATCTGTCCCTTCCAAAGATGGGGACGTTACTTTTAGTTCAACCAATATCACATACTTCCCTTTTCCACCACTGTGTGTAAAGGTGCCCTTACACTGGCCGAATTTCAGACAGTTTTTAATGTACTGGCCAAAATTCCCGGTGTGTGGGGCTGTCGGCTCCCTTTCAGCCGCCATTCCTCGATCAGCTGATCGAAGGACCCGGCTGGAAAATGTTCCTACAATCAGAGCCGGCAGCCAATGAGCTGCCCGCTCTGATTGGGTACTCTGGTGGCTCCTGTCAGAATACAATGCAAACAGCTGCGATTCCACGATCAACACCCTGTTTGTGTTGGGGGAATCGAGTCTTTTTTTTTTTCCCCTCCTATTGATAGGCGTATAGCTAGTCTAAGCTTCAAGTTCCAATCGGCAGTATAGACCAGACTAAGAGCTCTGTCTCTTCCTGCCATCATGCAACTGTCACAAAGCTTCAGCGCTAAATGTGTGAGGAAGGTGATTGATAGATTGTATAGCACCAGCACACCAAAATGCCTGACAAAAGGGGACTCTGCTTGGCCCAGTAATGTAAACGCGCTTCTACCGGTGACCCTTCAATAAAGTTGGATAAAAGACACCCTGTCAGCACAAAAAAATCTCTGAAGTCCGCTTTAAAAATAGAACCCTTCCGTGAGTTTCCTGCAGCCGGTCTCAAGTGATACCTTCTGTGTTCACTGGTTCCTCCTGCTGACCTCCAATATTACAGGATGCAGCAACAACATGGCGACTGAACAGGAACCTCTGGGCGCAAGCAGAGAACACAGACTGAAAATCTGTTTCCAATAAGACTTCTCTTTAACAGTGCAGCGTTCAAAAGGTGTGGGCAGGTAAGTATTTACTCTATTGTTACAGGGCAATCCTTTGTGGCCATGTTTGAAGTGAAAGTGTACCTTTTTTAAAGAACTATAGGGTCAGTGTTTTTCCCCATAGTTCTAAGGGTCATGGGAGGACATATACTAGCGTCCTCCCGTGACCCAAAGCTTAGTATATAGCGAGCTACAGCTTGCGGTATACCGAGACCCCTGCAGCCGGGACGGATCCCGACATTACTGTTGAGATCCACCCAGCTGCGTGACTGACAGCTGGCTCTGCCTATCTAGAGGCAGAGCCAGCTGTACCCGCCCCCTCCCCGTCCGTTCCACCAGTCAGCGCTGGAGGATCTGAGCGAGGAGGGGAGAATCCCCGCAGGGAGCAGTGAGTGACGGTCACGCCTCTCTGCAGGTAGATGATCAAGAAGTGAGCGAGCGACGGTATGTTTTCGCTCACTTCCTGATCTATTGAGCCGCCGTGTGACAGTTTAATTGTCACACGTCAGCTCGAACTATGAGGATGAGTGAAAATCACTCACCTCATAGTTCTCCTTTTTAAAGGAGAGTTTGTGTGCTGGCGCTATGTTCTCCAATGCAATCATATCATCAATCTAATGATTACTCATTGCACAACTAGGCTAAAAGTATCATTTGGCATGCAGTTGGGATTCGGTATCTTCACTCCCAGTGCATGTGGTGCAGAGAGAAGGTATAGTTTTAGGACAGTGGGCATGCATTGCATTTCACTGCTCTTCGCCAGTTATAGATACGAGATCACTGGTTTATGGAGTCAGCCTAATACCATGGAGCCCTTTATTTTCAAGTGCATACCGCTGTTTCAGGCCTGTTGACCATTAAAGCCGTGCACAAAACCATAGCTTCTATAAAGCCAGACTTGGATAGCATGAGAAAGTAAAACCAGACATGTTATGGGCAGGTGATCAGTCCCCAGCTAAACCAGTGGGGAGCACAGGAGAGCCTTCGTTTAACACATGTGCCCTGCATGTCTCTTCCATCACAGATCAAAAATACATGGGGCTCATCACCCACTTTAGGATAGTGGGCACAGCCATGCAAATCATTGTTCCTCTGGGGCTTTGCTATGTGCTTTGAAGGGGACAGAGCACCAGCCATATGTAAGCTACCACGAAGAAAGGAAAATTAAAGTAGGTAGGTGATCCAACTGAGCATCTTTCTAGACCCACAGGGGGAAATTTATCAAAACTGGAACAGACAAAATCTGGAGAAGTCGCCCATGGCAACCGACCAGCTTCTCTCTTCAATTTGCACAGTTAAGGTTTGAAAAACAGAGAAGCTGATTGGTTGCAATGCACAGCTGCTGGCTTTTCACTTTGAAGGGTGTCAAATCTTCATAACCACCCTGTAATATATTGCAGCTTTCCAGTCCTTCGATGTATTGGCTGCATTCTTTTTGTTTATTTTCACCTGGTGATCCTGCCGATTTAATTGGTGGCTACACTCGCTCTTCTACTGTATCTGTGGCAGAGCCATGGTTGTCAGCCAGGCTGCTTTCCTGAGTAGGCCTACAATAGATCTTTCTTTATTCATCTTCACTAGATTGTGGGAAGGGAACCAAGTTTGGTTGTCACACACGGCTTCCCTCTTTACATGGAGGTGGGCGGATTAGTAGTTTACAGAAGGATAATAAGGTCGATTTGTGCTTTCAGTTTAGCTCACAGGAAGTGACGAGCACAAAGCATTTTTGGCAGGAACCACAAATCATTTCGGTACTTGCTGAAATGGTTCTTAGCCCGAGAACTAATGCAGCCACCACATTACATTTTTGTTCTGGAGTTTGATATCTGTTCATGTTATACCACTTGGAAAGAACAATCGTATCACCTTCAAAAAAAAAATTCCAGGAACACCAACGTTCTTGTAAACTTTTATTACTAAAGTAAATATTCTGAAAAGAAATTCCAGTTTCTTATTCATTACAGTCCGATTTTATTTTGGTAAAATCACAACTCGGACCTGCTAACCTCCTTGTACCCTTCTATCGGTATATATTCTGTATAATCTATTACATGCTTTCAATAAGTTTAAAAATAATTTAGTTTCCATTCAACTGTGATAAAAGAACACGTTAATGCTACTTCCAGCTTATAGTAGTTTCTGGATTCAAGCTTTAGTAAAATTAGTCCTTATTTTGTTATCATTCACATAGTGCAAGGAATTTACTATAGCAAAGAGGACACCGCTTCCTCCAAGGGACCATCACAAGGATGTCCCAGGCTAGTCTTCACAAGCTTCTTGCAGGTCGGGCTCAGGTAGGCTTCCTACAGATTCAAGAAGAAGAGATGAGTTACCAAACAATTCTTAAACTTAATTTGACCGAAGTAACCTACCGCCACCCTTGTTGGTAGATTGCCTCCATTATTTCAACTGTTCTTGAGCCTGAAATCAGATGAATTTCCACTATTGCAAGAAAGTTGCCAGTGTAATTGAAGGTGCATATCCACTGTGGGATTCTGCCTAGTTTACACGCTTCCTGGCCAACAACAAAAACAAATCACCTGGCTTTTCGGGCAGTGTTATAATCTGGGGTTACTTCAGTTGGTCAGGTCTAGGATCAGCAATGTTAAGAGCCCCCCCCCAAAAAAAAAAAAGTCAGCTGCCTTCCTGAATAATCCGGTTTTTCCATCACTGGGTTTTTTTTCTTCCCTGATGGCACATTGGGCATATTCCAAGATGACATTGCTAGAATTCATCCGGCTCAGATTGTGAAAGAGTGGTTCAGGGAATGTGAGACATTTTCACACTTGGATTGGCCACCACAGAGTCCAGACCTTAACCCCATTGAGAATCTTTGGGATGTGTTAGAGAAGACTTTATATCAGTGGTCAGACTCTCCCATCACTATAAAATCTGGCTGAAAAATGAATGCAACTCTGGATGGAAATAAATGTTGTGATATTGCATAAAGCTTATGGAAACAATGCAATGGGAATGCGTGCCGTAATCAAAGCTATAGGTGGTTCAACAACATATTAGTGTGACTTTTTTTGGTCAGGTAGTGTAGTTGTTGCATGTTTCTCATTCACGTAGCATAGCAAAAAAAAATATTGCGCTTGCATAAAACTTGCTCAATTCACAAAGAAACGTTTACCATAATTCACCCCGTCTGTACTGTTCTGGCAGATCCCATAATCAGTTGTAAACTAGATTTGAATGATGTCTATCCGGACCAGGAGTAGGCAAACGCCAGCTCTTCAGCTGGTGCCACTACAAATCCCATTAGCAATTGCAAGGCTCTGACAGCCACAGGTATGACTTCCAGAGGCAGTTGCATGATGGGATGTGTACTTTCACCACAGTTGGAGGGCTGACATTTGCCTACCCCTGATCTAGAAGCTTTGATTGTTAATGAGGGGGAGGTCAGTTTGTCCTTAGTCTTTCTATTAGGACAGTCAGAGTTTCCCTGTTACTGAAGTTTAAGGGGACGCTTTCTAAACAGATCTAAAAAGGTACAAATATATTTAATTATTTTTAGATATGCCGTGTGAATTGAAAAATATAAAACATATTGAGGGGTTTTCTAAAATGTGAGCAATTATGTTGCGCTTGGTAGTGAGCAATATTCTTACTGTGTCATCTTGCTATTTATATTCAAGTGAAAAATAAAAATAGAAATAAAAAAATTGATGGATAAATGAATAAATGAGTGAATAAAAATTCATAAATTAGTGTAAAATATGTATAATAAATAATTATAATTAGTAAACTGATCACAATTTTCTAAAATGTGACTGCAAAGTGGAATACACTTTAAGGAGCAGAAGCAGACTGGCAACTTCACAAAGCCAGAACAAAAAATAAAACCACCTCAGCCATTCGAATAGAATGAATCCGGTCAAAAAGGAAACCATATTAAATAATAAACTGCTACAAACCTCCTCTTCCTTTGCAGATATAAATGGATTAACCAGTGGGCAACAAAGGGCCAGACTATCGCAAATGCCAACGTTCCAGATGAAATCTTGAAGGGCCACCACGATGGCTTCTGCAGAACAAACAGTAACAATTAATAGATAACTCATCAACAAGTTAACAAATGTTTCTCCAATCCTGTGATGGGAAATGTGACTGCTGTGAGAAACACTTCCTTGCTATTAGTTTTACATGAAGTCCAATATGAGACAGAACATTGTATTAAGCTTATGTTCTAGACACCTTCCTCAGAGACCGTAACATACAGGTGGGAGCGGTACACTTAAAAAGAAGGACACACAGGGACTTGTGTATACACGCACAATCACACACAGACACACAAAGGTTGGACTTGATGGACCTGTGTCTTTATTCAACCTCAAATACTATGTAACTATGCTTCTGCACTGCAAGTCTTGTGATCCAGGTATTTTCCTTCCAAGCAGCACCGCCACGTTCTTTAGGAACAACTTTGGGCATTTAAAAAAAAATACCCTTGCAGTGGAGCTACCACGCTGCAAGGGTTAAGTGCTCGTTGTGGTCTAGGGTCTGAAGAAAACAAAAAAAAAAACAAACATATATTCACCCAATCCTCATTCCCACGTGGCTGCTACACCGTTCCCCACAGCCTCCGGCAGTCTAAGCCCCACCGCCATCATCACGTCTATGGTCCATTCACTTGTAATAGACATAATGATGCCAAGGGACAAAGCACAGCTGGAGCGGAGAGGTGAGCGGTCATTGCTATGGGACCCATGATCAGTTGAGTGCATCTTTTTATTTTGGACCCAAGAGCAAATCATGCACTTAAACCTTGTAGTGCAGGGGTTAATTTTTTTTTTCCATTGCCGGAGTTCTTCTTTAACCACAGAAGTAGCACAGTTTTCTCAAGAAAACACCCAGGTTGCTGAATGGACCATAAAAGGAGCAGCAGGACACTGTTATGTTATTTCTCTGCTCTCAATGTCAGCAACTGTGCACTGCAGCAGAGTCTAACTGGCAGCTAGTGTTAGGCTTTCAGAGACTTCATTCTTTAATCTCAAAATACATCCGTACGATGCCCCTGGACACTGGATCACGTTAGCCAAACTGGGCAAAGATCTTCTGTTAGACAAGTGCAGGAAGTCCAAAGCGGACAGATCTCAGGCACAATACAAAATCGGACAGGTTAGAGAATTTCATCGAAGTGCTATTGTTTACCCAACGCAGTGGGCGGGGCTTCTTACAGGTTGTCTGTTCAGAAACCCCTCCTCTCCTTCTCCATAGGCAGAAACAGAAGTTGGCTATATGCCCCTGTTGGCTGAGGGCAGCGGTATCGTGTCCAACCAGCCTCTGAAACTCAACGCCCAGCTCTAATGAGCCAATGACCCAGAAATCTATGCATCAAGGAAACTCCCAACGTGTATACTTGCTCCAATTCAGGGACTTACTTAGCAGCAAAGAATTAAAATAAGCACAGCAGTCAGCAAACCAATGATTTGCAAAAGTTGTCCATGGTAGAAAAAAAAATGGCTGCCCCATGTTTTCTCTTACGGCAGGTTTACACAGTCAAAGATACAATGACACATCCATGGAACAGACACACAATTCAGCTTACCTGGTTAGAAAGCTGTTGAAAATTAGATTCAAGCTGAATCGATCTTGCCTAAAAAATATAGATGGCAGTTAAAGACCTGGAGACCAGCAAAGTTTGAATGATTATTATTATTAGGGATGCACCGATACCAATACTAGTATCGATACCAACACAGAGTATTTGGGCGAGTACTTGTACTCGCCCAAATGCTCAACTACCTTCCCCGATGCCGGAACTTCCGGTCACAGGAAGGTTTCCTCTAACCAGCAGTGCCGTAGGGGAACATGGAGCCAGCTCCCGGGAAGACGGGTGGCGAGTAATGACCCGCCTCCCATCTTCCCGATTGGCTGGGAAGCCGTTTTCCCGGCCAAACAACACAGAGCCGGCTTCCCGGGCAATCAGGATGCCGGGCAGCATGTCATTACCCGACGTCCGGCTTCCTGATTGCCCGGAAAGACGGCTCCATGCCAGCGGAAGCACCAGTATTGGTACTTGGTATTGGCGAATACCGAAAAGGAAAATATCGGTACTCGATACCGAAAAAACGTTATTGGTGCATCCCTAGGTATAATTATTATTCAGGATTTATATAGCGCCAACAGTTTGCGCAGCGCTTAAGAATATAAGACATTACAGTTACAATACAAATCAAGTCAAAATGTTAAGGAGGGCCCTTCCCCTGAGAGCTTACAATCTAAAAGCATTGAATGCATTTAAACTGCAGCTCTAGGTTTGTTGCAGTAACTAGCGGACCTCAGTCAATTCCTTGTCGCAGATGATGGGAGAGGAAAACTGATCTGCTGATATAGAGATGGTATTTTCTTAGAGAGGATTGCTCTCTCTGGGTCCATGGGGAAACACTTCAGCTTAATGTACCTTTGCATCCTGCTTGAGTAATGGATGCAAAGTGTTTTGAACATAATTTAGATCGGTGTCCTTCCCTATGGTCATGTTCTATGGGTAATAACCCAAGGGGTGGAAATAAGGGTCGTCAGCAAGGCTGAACATACTTTTTGTGACAGGATGAGGACTGTGGTAGTGTGGAAGCCCCTTGCACCCTGTGCCTTGAGAGGTGCCAGTTGAAATGGTTTGGGCTACTTATATGAATGCTCCTTGGGAGGTTCACAAGTCATGTCCAACTGAGAAGACCCCTGAAAATCATGGCTGGATTCTCTTGGCTGGTCTGAAAATAACATGGAACTCTCCAAGAGCTGAAGCCTGTGACTAGATAAAGGGCATGTTTCCCCCACATCTACTGGACTAAGTGGCTAGGACAGAACAATGACATACATTTCAAGTATTTAAACAGAACAGACTTCTCCTAATGTATGTGCATCAGCCAATTTGCTGCAACATCTCCGATTACACACATGTAGCGGACAGAGGTCTTACCTGCGAGGCGGTGAGGGCCTCCAGTGTCTGCAGCCTCTGCAGAACATTCTGCATGTCCTCCTGTAATCGTGTAAGTACAACAGCAATGTGCTCATTGAGGCTGCTGTTTGGTCCTCTGTCTGATCCTCTGCGGTCCCCTCCATCCCCACCGTTTCCCATCTGTCCCCCTCGGGATCCTTCTCCAACAGGATGCATACGATTTGCTAGAGAGAAAGATCACAAGTAGAAGTTAACAAGAAAAGTAGATCTCGTCACCGGCAACTTTTTTCAACTTGCACAAAATGTCTACTGTCTTGTGTAACAACTGAAGGGGAAGATGAAAAATGTAAGAGGCTTGGCTGGAGTCACTCTGGCTTCAATACTTTGAGTCTCTAACCAAAAACAAGAATGCAGATCGTGAGTTTTACTCTGACTTTCCTAAGCTGCATAGCTGTGCCACATAAAGTATTGAAGCCAGAAGGTCAGTATAAAAGTCAGGAAACTAGCATTTTCAGAAGAAGGTCAGCAGTAATTGGAGGTTAGGTTGTGGGCATTTTAGAGTCAATGTCTCCGATATCCCAGGAATCTGCTCAGAAGAGACTGGAGTGCAACCAGTGAATTATCGAGGTCTACCTACATAACAATTGTATTCTATGGCTGTACCAGGTGGCGCTGCAGGTAAAAATCTGTAATTCTACGTCTTGGAAATACTGGTACCCGCGGGGAGTTTTTCTGCAAATCCTGTTCAATATGGAGGCTGATGTGTTTTAATAAGAGGTGCACCAAAATGGAATTTTCAGACAAAACCAAGAATTAAAAAAAATGTGTCAGGCTGAAACCGAAAATTATTTTTTCTTCTACCCCTTTTAAAATAAATGTTTACTTTACTGTGGGGGGCTTTGGCGAGAATATCAGGGGTCTGAGCAAATGCCAGATATTTTCCTTTTAAAACAGAAAGAGAGATTGAGGATACAGATACTCAATCTCTTTTTCTGCAGCCCCCATTATGAATGAACAGGAAGCCTCTATACTGAGTGTTCCTGTTCATTCATGAACTGAGGAGATAGTATGAGTTACCATGTCCAGTATGAGTTACCATGTCCAGCAATCATGAACAGGAAGTGATGTGGAGCACTTCCTTTTCATTCATAACTGGGTACACAGTATCTGAATGTTCCTCAGTTATTTACAAAACACTCAGTGATCAGCTGATTGCTGAGTGTTTGTACACCACTCTCAATCCTGACATCCTCAGTCACAGGAGACTGAGCGGGCGGTGCGGGAGCAGAGTTTGGCCTCTTATGACACCGCTTTGATCCCCCCGCACTGCTGGGTCGGCCTCCTGTGACAGTTGACAGCTGTCTCCTCCCCGCACCGCTCTCCATCCTGATTTGCTTGTAACAGGAGGCCGAGCGGGGTGGTGCGGGAGGAGAGCTCAGCCTCATGTGATGACGCCGACAGCGCTCTCCTCCCTGCTGGGTACTGCTCTGTGTCTCCACTGATCCCTGCGGCCCCTGCTGACACAGAGGCGGAGGGAGCAGCGGGCACACAGAGCAGCGCTCAGCAGGGGAGGAGAGAAACTAAAGATGCACCGCAATTTCTGCAAAAAAAAATAATGGTACATTTGTCATTTTGCCCGAAATTTTTCAGAGATGAAATTTCGGTGCATCCCTAGTTTTAATATTAGGGTATTCAAAGACCAACAAGCAACACACAGTCTATTTTATAGGAAAACAATCTAGACTTTTGCTTATGAACCCTAAAACATCTTCGAGAACCTGAGGAACACAGTATAAACAGATGGCTTTATAATGTTGGTCGGCACATGTTTCTCCATAACCATAGACGGGAGGAGTCTGATAATAGCAGACCTCACACACACACAAAACAAAAAGTCACGCAATCTAGCATTTCATCGGACCACCTTTAGCTTTGATTACGGCACACATTCGCTGTGGCATTGTTTCGATAAGCTTATGCAACATCACAACATTTATTTCCGTCCAAAGTTGCATTCATTTTTCGCCAAGATCTTGTAGTGATGATGGGAGAGTCGCACCACTGCGTAAGGTCTTCTCGAGCACATCCCAAAGATTCTCACTGGGGGTAAGGTCTGAACTCTGTGGTGCCCAATCCATGTATGACAATGATCCCATGCTCCCTGATTCACTCTTTCACAATCTGAGCCCGATGAATCCCGGCATTGTCATCTTGGAATATGGCCAATGTGCCATCAGGGAAGAAAAATCAATTGATGGAAGAACCTGGTCATTCAGGATATTCAGGTAGACAGCTGACCTCATTTTTTGGGCACATAACATTGCTGAATCTAGACCTATTATCCAATGGAAGGCTCTGACCTATTTGCTTAGCTAAATCCATATGGTGACTTTTTTGAACAGGCAGTGTACAGTATATTTGTTTTCACATGCAATGTAATACTACGTGTACCTATATCCCCCCAGGGGTTACACACCTCTTCCTCTCCTTGAACTGTAGTACTCAGCCTTGTCTTGGCCAGATTTTTCCTTTTGTGGTGTTCGGCCAGATGCTTTCCCATCTTCTCCACCATCTTTTACCTCTCCTCCAGCCCACACATCCGAGGAGCCCTCAGTCAACATGGCTTCTTCTATCAGCTGACTGTGATCTACCTGCAAGGCCAAAGAACAGTCAATCAACCAACAATCGGCTGGACTTTTACGTTAAAGTGTATCTAAAAAAAAAAATAACAAAAAAGAAAAAACACACACACACACACACACACACACTATCTCAGCCAGTCCTTAGATGTGGTGAATGCACTTGTTCTCTTTTTCAGGGGTTATTTCCCTTATTTTCACCTGGTGATCCTGCCAGTAGCACACTTCCTGTCCCTGGGTGGCTACGCTGACTCCTTTACTGTATTTTGTTGTTGGGTTTGAATATCCGTTAAGAAAAGCTAAAACTAACAATTCTCTACTGTGTGATGGGAAAAGGCGACTTCAACATATTTTTCCTGTGTTTAAAGCTATTGGGTACACTCATTTTCAGCAAAAACTTGGCAAATGGACTTTACCAGTTAAGTCTGGCTTTTGATGACAGATTTGAATGAATGTCTGTCACCCCAAACCTTGTTTAGCCTCCATTCTCAATCAGAAGAAGCTGAGCAAGACTTGTTATTCTGGTTATTTTAATATATTTGCAGCATTTTGAATTTTTGCATTCATTTTGTGCTTTTTCATGATGCAAATCCTTGTACACGGCCGCTTATGGGGGGAAATTAACAGAAAAAAAAAGTGTCAGAGAAAAGTTCAATCTCAACTGGTATAGTTGCCCAGCTTCTACCTCTCATTTGTTTCCACGCAGCTTAGAAAATGAAAATATAAAAAGCTGATTGGCTGTGTTCCAGCTGAGATAAAGTTTGTCTCAGAGACTTTTTATTTATTTCAGCCTCTGTGTTACAAAGTGGTAAAACATAAAAAGATAAACCTGGAAGTAAAAAAGTACAGAGAAATTAAAACCTTTATAAATAGGCCTCCAAGTATAAGGAAATAGATACATGACAGCCACCCATTCAGCCCTGCTATATCTGCATTTGTCACATTCGGTCACCCTCCCTGGAACATCCTACTTACATCTTCTTGGCCAAACTGCTCCATCGAGTCACAGAAGATCTCGCTGTCTGAGTCACTCGTCAAGTGCTGCATTGCAGCAACATCCTCTGTGCAATCATTGTCTGCAAAACAAGATAGTTCTCATTAACCTTCACATCTAGAGAACATGTACACATTCCTGAACTGGTCTCATTTGTGCTGCTCAAACTTGGTCTGCATTCCGAGGGTTGCAAATATGAAATGCCTTTAATTCCTGCAGAAATCATACCTAAGCATCCCATACCCCTGAACAGTCTGAATAATATATTTTTTAATTCCCCTCCTGTTATACCAAGCTCCCCTTTTTTCCTTCAAAATGTACTGGTCCAGGAAGGCACAGAAAGGATCTGCAAAGCCAATGCTGAAAGACATTGTTCTCTGCACTTCTGCCATTGCGCTTTTACCTTTGTGCAAAAGAGTGTACAAAGATGGCGTTTGGGTTGGCTACAGAGCAAGGTAGATGTTGCCCAAGCAAGTAACATAGTATGTAAGCTTGAATAAAGACCAAAGGTCCATCTAGTTCAAGCTATGTATGGGAGTGTGTGTGTGTGTATATATTTATCTTGCTCGAACACTTCCCATATCCATATAGATTCTCCGAAAGAAGAAACTCATCCAGAAGTTTCTGGAATGTATGGATGTTGTCAGCAGATACCACCGCCTGTGGGAGGGAATTCCAAACTTTCACTACTCTCACAGTGAAATACCCCTTGCGAATTCTAAGATTGAACCCCCTCTCTTCTAACCTCTTGTTGTGTCCCCAGGTTCCGATCGCCGAATCAAGATTTTTACGAACTGCTCAGATTCCTAATGTCAATCATTAGGCAGGGCAGCCAGAGAGCTCATAGCACTTTGCACTGCCCACCTCCAAAGTTAAATGTTTGTTTTTTTTTCAAATTCTTTAATTTAAAGACCTCTGACATACAGGCAGTACAAGAATAAAAATATAAACTCTATGGATAGCGTTTGTACATGTACCAAGACACAATAGGTTCCATAAACAGAATAAGCAGTGGAAATATAGGAAGCGATCGCACATCACAGTCTGCCTCGTGTGGTCCCAGGTCTACAGTACACATCATTCATTGCGCCCGTACATCAGTGGAGATTTTCAAGTTTTATAAACACACAAAGAGTAAACAGAAGATCTAACGAGTAGTGTTAGTAGTAAAACATGAGAAAGCAGCCAAGGAAGAAGAGTGGAAGGAGGAAGAAGAAAAAGGTCATAGACAAGTATGTCAAAGAAAAGGAATATAGAGAAAAGAAGCTCATCGCCCCCCGGGGACAGCGGAGCCCAGCAGCTGACACGGCACTAAAGGAGCGTTGTGTAATCCGGGGAGTCTACAAATTGGTCCCAGTAGAACCATGTATGTGAGAATGACCCAGTCGTGTCCCTCAGCGCAGCCGTAAGGTTCTCCATGTCCCTGATCTCTGGCCAACCATTGAGCAACTGTAGGAGGCGCTGATTGCTTCCATATACTGGGGACACAGGCACGTGCTGCGCTACGCAAATGTCTCAGTAGCGATTTCCCATATCTCCTCCCGGACATTGGAGTCAGATTCAGGAGGACCGCCGCAGGGTCATCGGCGAGTTAAATGTTTTAACGGGTTGCTCTTATTACAGAACACAGTACCTAGGCCCTAAACCTAAAAAAATTAAGAGCTGTCTGCTGATTTTTTTATGGTTTGTCCACCCATGAAAGGCTGTACCAGTGAAAGAGTGTCTAGGGATACTCTGCAGCTGGGAGACGTTACGCTGAGAATTGAGCAATAGGCTTAATGCAGATGCTGCCAGTAGAACCCCAATTAAGACCCGGGAGATTAAAGTATTATCTGTACAGCATTCCAGCCACCCCTCCTCCTCCCTCAACACTCCTGAGGCTTGTCTGGAACACACAGCACTCTGGGGTAAAGGGAGTCTGCGGTGTATGTTCAGTTAGTTCACATTATGTTTTCATTGTTACATGAGCGGGAAATTCATTCTGAACTTTCATGTATGTACTTGGTTCAAAATTCTCAAGACTGCATTTCCTAAACATGTAAGGTTTCCTTCTAGTGGCCCTCTCTATGTCATTGGGGTTTACCTCTGTGCGGAAGACAAAAAGCAAAAAAAGATGAGCCTAAAATGACCTGCCATTGCCTCCAGGCAACAGACTGATAGACTTGGACTAACAGAGAAACGTAAAGTAGAATCCCTTAGCAGCACAACATAGAACGCACATAATGAAGGAGTAAATAGGACTATCATGAGGTACACATACACGTCATGTACACATACATTTATAATCCATCAATGGAAAACATTTGGAGATTGAATGATGTTCTTTAGTGGCTAACCTAAAGCAGAACTCCAGCTAAAAAACACAATAGTAATAGCCTATTAAAAGAAAAAGGCAGCAATGCTTGGTTTGAATCTGGTACTGTGCCCTGTAGTCTTCTCTGCCACTAGACGTCACAAGTCTTCCGAGTTCAATGACAGCCAACATCATTAAACCAACCTTCTGTGATCCGAGGATGTCACAGACACCTGTGGGGGGCCCTATACTACTGTAATAAACAGTGCTCACACATCAAGTAAGCGACATTCAGTCCAAACGTAAGGACCGCTCACTACTGCCATCAGAGGAGAAGAGGAAGGACCCGTGTTATCATTAGATAGGCGACAAGACTGCTAGATCACCATTATACAAGCTTCTAGTTTTGTTTCATTAGCTGTGATGGGGCCTCAGGGAGGAAGAGGGGTGGGTGTTCTCATCAGTGTATAGTATAGTGTATATGTAAAAATGCAAGCTTTATATATAAATTGGGTTTGTTTTTTGGGCATGATAGAATTCTGGATCTGAACACCACATATGTGTACATAAAACAACAAATACAATACAATGAAATAGAATGGCTTTGAGTGGTAATGGGTGTTGTAGAATATATGAATCATTTGATCTTTCATTTGATATAACTTGATATGTTTTAGATATAAGCAGTCACGGCATACTTCACAACCATGAGTAAGCTGTGACCATGAAAATCTTTTGCTCCAAAGACCCGATCATATATCATCCTGCCTATCTGTGTATGTAAAGTAAACCTGTCCCTCTGCCCATTGTCCCATGGCCCTGATCACCAGCTGAAGCCCTTGGAAATACCTGGCATGTCCTGGTAAGGGGAAGCTTGTGATCTTTTATCCTTCCTTCCACTAAGCTATGCTCAGCCAATCACCAAGCCAGAGCACTGTCACATGGGGTGTGGGGAAGGTCCTCTGCCCTGTGTAAGCTCTGATATATTGGCCGACATAGAGCCTATACAGGGCTTTCTACTTGAGGCAAATGGGCAGAAGGAAATTATAAATGGGCAAGTATTAGCAGCATAGGTGGTCGCTACAAGCAGAACCTGTTACATTGACGTGCATGAATGACCTCAAGAGCATATGCAGGAGTTACGTTATGACAACCCAGCCAATTAAAGTGGCTGAAGACTCCTGAACCCAGGAGAAGATAGAGAAGAAATAGTAGCACCGCTGATAGAGTGGTACTTCCACATTATGAGAACAGTTCCTGGGGGACCTGAAAATTAATACCACTTTAAGACAACATTTTGCAGATTTCTCAACAGAGACAAGCAGGCAACTAGCAACTTCAGAAGGCAGCCTTCATTTTCGCCTCAGCAACGGTTTCCTTTAATACTCAAACGTGTGACGGAAGCGATTTTATGGCCCAACTGAATAGTCATCCAATCAATGCCCTAGGAATAAGTAACTCCAGGGATGTCTCCAGGAAAAGCTGATAGACTGAAGACTTATGAACACTGGATTATTCCACGCAATGGCTGTGTCCACTGTAAGTGTATCTATACAGCGGCTAAGATGGCAGACACACTTTTCAGGCTTGCCACTTACCTTTCTTTCCATCGACATCATTAGATCCTCCATCCTCTGTGTTGTGCTGCTTTCCAGTCACCTCCTCCTCCATCTTGTTAAGATCAGACTTGGTTGGCGAGTGATTGGGAATGTCTGGAATATAGTAACTGTGATTGATGAGTAAACCGTTGGCCACTGTCCCGCCTGGGCACGGCTCCGGGGCAGAATCCGGCATCCCAGTCTTCTCCTCTGTACCAAGAAAATGGGACAAGAGTCAGAAGGGAGGAAATGGCTCGGAAATGTTTGAAACATTATTTTTTGCTTACATTTGTCAGAGGCAGCAAACATAGAAGTGGAACTATAAACATTTTAAAATGCCCCACCAGGCAGGCTGTGTATGGCAGGAGATATTCTATGCCCCCTCTGCCATAAAGGAATCTTACCAGCATGGTCCCAACCTTCTTTGTAATGCACACTGGAGCTGTTCATGCGCAGCTCAATGTACATTCTCACATCTGCTAGAATGAATTAACTTAGGCCGAAGACCCCTGAACCAAGAAGATTGGTTGAATATGGTGAAGTCAGCAAGGGAGCTCACGCACATCACATTGCTGTAGGGGAGATAAATAGAAATCCGCTTTGATAGACAAATAAAAACGTATTGGTAAATCTACATGGATTTTAAGTAGCTCAAAATCACACTGCTAAATAGTGATCGGTTCTTTAACAGATGGAAGAAATGTCTGCCGATTGTGTAAAATGGGAACAGAAAGAGGGGAAATCTTCCAGTTGTGACACTTATTCCAGTAAACACTAAGAGAGAATCTCCCTCATTATGGAGAGATTTCCTCTCACTTCTTATTGTGTCATTAGGACAGGAAGGGAAATATCCCCAAAAGAAACACAAAAGCAGAAAAGGGGCCTTAACCACCTACCTTTTCCCAAACTGAAAAACAAAAAGTCTTGGCTTTAGATATATGGGAAGGATCAATGGAGCTGAGAAGGTGATGAAGACAATCTACATTTTTAATTATGGACATATTAGGTTTTAGTGGAATCTACTGTCAAGCAGTCAGCACCTTACCATGGGGGATAATTCATTGTTTCCCAGTGTTACCACTAAAGCTGGCCATACATTGGTCTATTCTTTTCCTTCAACCCGCAGGCTGAACCAAAAAAACAGAACAGATTCCTCCATCAATGCTTGCGAACGTTGATGGAGGAATCACCCACTGTGGCTGCTAGCACTGTTCCTTCGAAGATTTTCCAATCTGCTCCTCTTCTGATAAAGGGATGCCCACTGGAAGGTTGCCGGCAGCAGCACCCACTATGTACTTCCGCCAGTTCTTCATGAACCGGCCGAGATCCGCACAATGTATGGCCAGCTTTAGGGAGAAGCACATCTTTATTTTCTATAAATGTCACTACCTTGCTCGCTTTGTTCTGTTTCTCCTTCATCATCATCATCTTCCTCCTCCTCCTCCTCTTCCCGTCTCCCCGTATTTTCTTCCTCAGACTCCGCTCCACTGTCACTGCTCTCTGCCTTCCCATTCACAGCTTTACAGTTTGGGGTGGAGGTGAGAGCAGTGCTCAGCTCTGAAGGGGGACAAATACATAAAGTAAATCATCAGACCACCGCAGCGATAGCATGCACATCACACTCTTGATTTAAGCAGTGCTTACAACGAATGGTTGGTATTACTTTAGAGAGAGACAATTAAAGTATGAAATCCCTGGACAATGAAGAGAAAAGAATGCCAAGCTCTGTATACACAGATAACCTATATACATTGAGGTTACTCTATACTGCTACATTGTAGGTCAGCAGGCCCATGGCAACCAATCAGCTTCTCTCTTTTACTTTCAAATCTTAAGTGAGCAAACTGAAGAGAGAAGCTCATTGGCCACCAATCAGCTTCTTTCTTTCATTCTCAAAGCTTAACTGCAGACTTAAGCGAAAAGCTAATTGGTTGCCATGCACATCCACTCCAGATTCTGCCTCCACCAGTTTTGATAAATTCCCCCAATGTGACTTTAAAGTGTCTGGAAATGAAAAAGTAAAGATTCGCTATGTTATAGGGAACATTTAAAATTTTAATTGAGTCTAAGCAGTACCCTGGCCAATGTGTGTTTTGTCTGGGATTCCTTCTGAAAAATAGAAGTGCACTTCCTAGTATGCGAGCTTGTCTGGGCACTCCTGTGCTGTGGCCTCATAGCTGTATATCTGCAGTGTAAGATCTAAGGCACTGCTGCCTCTGACTGCTAGGCTCAGGAGATTTGAAGTGAGATTTGGTGATGTCAGTACTGTGCTGCTCATTGTTCTCCATGCTGAAGGCTCTGACATGAGGAAGCAAAGCCCTGCCTCTACCAAGATGGCCGCTTCCACACAAAGCAGGATAAGGCGTGATAAGTCAGTAGTGTGAAAACGTCAGGGGCAGAGAGACCACAGACAACATGGGTGATAAGTCATTTGCCCCGTTTTTTCCTTTTTTTGAGCACAGCTTCCCCAATTCAGTACTTCAAGTGGAACTCTAAGCAACATCTCAATACAATGCTTTTACCTTTCAGAAGAGGTGTAAGAATTTGCAGACTGTAAGATCTGGTCAACCAATTTTGTGCGTCATGCACCTTCCATACTGCATAGCCAGTCAGGCGACATCCCTACTTCCCGATTCATCCCCTCCACTGCCCATTAGGAAGCGAAGCAGGAAAACTCAACCAGGAAGTAGTAGGAGTTCTTCCTGGCTGTGCAGCATGCAGCAAAGGTGTGTGAATACAAGGTTGGGCAACCAAAATGAGCAATCCTTTAAAACAGTAAATATATATATGTATTTTAATATAATGTTTAAGTCACCCCCCACTCCAGGTTTCCCCCTGAAGGGTTTCATTGACTGTACATAGACTGTATTAAATATCTGGCTGACCATCTGGTTAGGTGAAGTTCCCCCTTGTGCACTCCTAAATGGCTGCTGGTGTGGGAAGCCCCACTTCTGGTCCACGGGCCATTTGGCTGGCTGGATAAAGTTTGGCATCTGAGGTGAGTTGATCTGGCTTCTGTCTGTGGTTCGCCGTTCGGTAGTGGAACGCACATTATGCATTCTACATGCGGCCCAGCTCAGTTACTTCCGGGTCTGCGCTGGAACGCAAGGAGGAAGCCGATAGATATATATTTAAATATTATTGCAGCTTACCAGTCCTCTGATGTTGTGGCGGCATTTGTTTACCTTCTTCAGTCCTTTCCCGTTATTTTTATCTGGTGCTCCTGCACATAAATAATTTCCTGTCCCCTGTGCTTATACTCAGTTCTCCTCGGTATCAATGGGGGCAGCCATGGTTGTCACACAGGCTGGACTGTAAAAATGTCCGCCTTTGCTCATCTCCATTACACTGTTGGAGACTAGTAGTTTACACAAGATATACATTTTCTTGCTTTCTTTTCAGTTTGCGGGTGACAAACACAAGGCATTTCTGGCAAAGTTCAACAGGTATTTTTTGTACTTGCTGAAATTGAATGCAGCTCCCTCATTAAATTGAGTGAAGCTCCCTCATCTAGGGACTGGTAAGCTGCATTATATGACATTTTTGTTTTTGACTTTAGATATACTCTAAATGTAAAGGCATTTAGCACTGTGGGGTTATAGCTTAGATCAAAATACTATAATGGAAAACTACACCTGGGAAAACTATATGAAATCAAACTCAGAACCCACTAAGGATCCCAAGCTCTAAAGGAAATACCAACCATTGCGGATTGCAAGTACACCCTTCTTTCCGTACTGTATCTGCACTTGTTAATTAACATAACAAATGTTCTTTGCTTTATGTAGGTTGTAGGTAGTATGGAGCTCATTTTAAAAAGCAAAATATGTAAAGTAGGGTGTCCTGAAGTACCTATGCACATACTGACTTTCTCACACTTTGAAGTAACACATTTAGGAGGTGCTGTGATATCTGTGCTCATCTAAATTGTCCAGATGCAGGAAAGTTTGCAAATAAGCTCACTGACACTAACAAGGCAGCAACAAGGAATGAAAATATTCACAAATAAAAGGGCGCCAAAGCAAAAAAGGTGAGAGTCCAAAAATGCCTTTAATTGTTCACAATTCAATCAAACAAAAAAACAGCCAACAGAGTTCCGGGGCAACAACACTCCCCCTTCATCAAGGCTTAGAATGAGTCAAGGATTTCAGGAGCTTCTTTGGGGCTTTTTTGTCGCGCGTTTCCATTGGGATACAGCCAAGTAGCCCTCGGAAACGCGAGTTTGTCGCTTTTTTTTACCGCGAATCGCGGTAAAAAACGCATGTCACGAAACACGCGACAAACGCGCATATTTGATACGCCTAGGTGCGAACCCAGCCTTAGGGCTGGAAAAGGCAGCTGCTTTGGGGCACTACAGCAACGCCTGGATGAAATATATGAAGCTGTGAGCAGGTACGCAGGTACGCTGCACCCCTTATATTCATCTCAAGGCTTATTTTTCAGTTTGGATGGACTGTATGCTACAGCAAACTGATAATCAGTATAAAAGTGCTGCGAGCACAGAGAACAAACTGGACTATCTAGTTTTCCAACATCCTCCCTCAATGCAGTGTGATTAAACCTTCACCCCCTGAGCTCTGTGCTTTCCAACTGATTGCAACACATTTGTTGTCATCAATTTATCTACTGATAGAGACATGGGGGGGGGACAGAGCATGGAATTTTCTCCAGCTTATCCTCCCCTACTGGCTGCATACACGGTTAAAGTGACACTAAACTCAGGAGTGAAATCATGCAAATACATTCAAGTACCTTAACTATTAACCAAAACCTTATTTGTGTAGCACTCGGCTGTAGATCTTCAAATCATCTCTGAATTGGCGCTGACACTGTCCTTCCTTCTGGAGGGTGGCTACTTTTGATCCCCAAGGTCTGTGTGTGTGTTGTAAAGTAGTCACAGCTCCAAGCTCACTCCTGTGATGGATTATAAACTAAACATGAGATAGTAGTCCATCACAGGAGCGAGCTTGGAGCGGTGGCTACTTTACAACACACACATAGGGACCATGAGGAACAAAAGTAGTCACTCTCCAGAAGGAAGGACAGTGTCAGCACCAATTCAGAGATGATTTGAGGATCTACAGCCGAGTGATGCACAAATAAGATACGTTTTGGTTAATACTTAAGGTACTTGAATGTATTTTTAAGATTGAATTAAAATTAATTATTTCCTTTTAACACTTTAAAAAAGACCTTTAATAATAATAATAATAATAAATGTAAAAAATGCTGTGCAAACTACGGGACCCTACAGTAACCAAATCAATTCATTTTACACAGATGAGACTATGCCAAATCTGGAATCTGATTAGTTGCTCTGGGGCTATACCTAATTTCTACTTACATCCTATAAACTGCACCCACAAGTGATTTTTTTCAGTTTTGCATGGCTTCATAGATACATTTTTTAAGTCGCATGGTTAGGCCAACCTTTTTTTTTTTTAGTCATTTTTTAAAGTTGATCGCACCCAGGCTTCTTAGGGACAGTTCAGACTATAGAGTTGTGCTAAAGGCACGGTGTAAAATACAATGCACTGCAAGCTAGATAGGCTTGTGCATTGCATTGCCATTCATTCTAAATGATACCCCAACGCACCTCCCGGTGGATGCTGTGGTGCCGTGCTGTGAAAAAACAAATGATGCATGTACTATTTATTTTTTCCCCCCACAGCACTACAACATACACTATTGTGGTACAGTGCAATGTATGGAAACACATTGCACACCTGGCAGGAGAAGCATTGAGGTACCATTCAGAAAAAATGGCAACAACACACCTAGAGTGCAATGCATTGTTCTGTGCAATAGTGCGCATTAAGTGTATGGTTACTGTGCCTTTAGCATAACACTATGGTGAGAATTGGCCATTACAGCAAAAATATCTTTATCAGAATCCCTAGTTCCTTCCAACTGAGGAAGTCATTAAAAAGTCTAATTATGGTGCCCGCTTCCCATTTAGTTCTCTATAATGCAAACTAAGTATCATGGGAGTTCAGCTACAAGAGAGCAGCACCTTCATTATGTAGCTATGGGCTGTAGACAAAAAAACTATTAAAGTCTTTGGGAGAAACATGAAACAGGCAAGTGATACAATTCAGCAGACAGTGTCCAAAATAGAAATATCAGTTTTGGGTTTGGTTTGCCTTCAAAACGAGCACCCTAGCCTGTAAGGATGCAAAATAGTAAATAAACAGATCAAAATGTCATATCCTTCCTACCTTCTAAAGACTTAGCAACTTTATCCAGTCGTACTAGCATGTAGGAGAAAGAGCAGAGAGACAGAAGTTGATTTGGAGAAAAAAAAGGGACAGGGAGATAAGAAGATATGAACTATATTCTACAGTACAAGCAGGAGTGAGGCCAACCTGACGTTACACCAGATCCTCGCCCATGTTTTTTGTCTTCCACTATTTCATAAAACGGACCTATGACTTGAAGTAATTCTTCCACTTTCTCCGTCATTGGCATGCTCTCAAGAATCTAGTGTCCAAAAGGCAAGAGGTAAACACATGGTATATTGATTGGCTTTCGGTTCACTCTAGAACTTAAACCTCTAGATCAACAAGATGCTCCATGTGTGCTATAACCAGATGTCCCAGGTCATCATTTAACAAATGTCAAAGACAACACTTAAAGTGACACTAAACTCAGGAGTTAAATACATTCATGTACCTTAACTATTAACAAAAATGTTGTTTATGTGTGTATCACTCGGCTGTGGATCCTCAAATCATCTCTGAATTGGTGCTGACACTGTCCTTCCTTCTGGAGGGGGCTACTTTTGTTCCCCATGGTCCCCGTGTGTGTTGTGAAGTAGACACCGCTCCAAGCTCACTCCTGCAATGGACTACAATCTCAATACAAATTGGGAATCTAAACGTGAGATTGTAGTCCATCACGGGAGTGAGCTTGGAGTGGTGTCTACTTCACAACACACACGGGGACCATGGGGAACAAAAGTAGCCCCCTCCAGAAGGAAGGACAGTGTCAGCACCAATTCAGAGATGATTTGAGGATCTACAGCCGAGTGATACACAAATAAGATATATTTTTGTTAATAGTTAAGCTACTTGAATGCATTTGTAAAATTTAATGCTGCAATTTAGTGTCACTTTAAATATTTGTCCAGCAACAAGACTCATTTCCAACTCTTTTAATGATTTCGAAATAGTATGAACTGTAAGTGCAATACACAAAGCGAACAAAAGAAAATGTTAGCGAGAATCTTTGGACGGTTTGGCTGACAAAACAATCCAATGGGATGGGTATTTCTAAAACTGCCTCTACACCATACATATCTAAAAGGAAAGGACCTTAAAAGATTAGGACATTTAAAAAGGAGAACTATGGGGTCAGTGTTTTTCCCCATAGTTCTCCTTAGGGTAACGGGAGGACACAAACTAGCGTCCTCCCGTTACCCTAAGCTCAGTATACCGCGACAGCTCGCGGTATACTGAGATGCCGCAGCCGGAGCGGATCCCGACTTAGATGACGGGATCCGCCCAGCTGCGTGAGTGACAGCTGGCTCTGCCTATCTAGAGGCAGAGCCAGCTGTACCTGCCCCCTCCCCCGTCCGTTCCGCCAGTCAGCGCTGGCAGATCGGAGCGGGGAGAGGGGAATCCAGCCCCTCCCCCTGTCACGGCAGAGAGCAGTGACAGGATCGAGAGGCGAGCGAACCTGGTATGTGTACGCTCACCTCCCGATCTACTGAGCCGACCTGTGACAGTCTCATTGTCACAGGTCGGCTAGAACTATGGAGGTGAGTGAAAAGCACTCGCCTCATAGTTCTCCTTTAACTCCTGATCCAAAGTCCTCAATGTAGAAACATGAAGAGGGTCCACAACTTATACCCGCTCCCATGCAACTGGCTAAGACTTTAGTTTACAAACACAAATGTAGAGCTTCGAATTGGCTAAAGAAGGAAATTATCCTTTCAATGTCCCAGGCCAAAGCCATGTAAAGTACCTATGTGCTGCCTCTCTAAAGCTGCTTCCAGGTAATAGATGGCAACTAGATGTTCAAGCATAAAACTTACCTCCAGTCTATTTCATTTGGTGCAGAGACATGTCCCTTTGTACTGCCCAAGTGTTTATGTATAGATGCTAATGCAGTAGACCCACAGCCATAGTGCAGGTCTTCTTTGAGGATAATACCAGCCAATAACACCAAGCCAGGAAAACCTAGCCAATTACTTTTCTCACTTCCAAAAATCCAAGATTTTGAAGTTTACAGATAACATTTCCCAAGAAGGCACTGGTGATGGATCCCAGGATGCATTTGTGAGGCCAGGACTACATCACCAGTGCCTCACCCAACCAGGAAGTGGAAAAACAGCAATCATAAGTAAATGCAAATGATGCTTGTTTAATGAATGTTAGATTATGAGTTATCAGCATGTGGAGCTGTATGCGGATAGGATTTTAAGTGAAAGGAAGTAAAGGTCCCCCTTTTTTTTTTTTTGTTTATTATATTTTTATTATTTTGTTTCCATAAAAGTACATTTAGACAAACATTCATAAACATTAGTTTCAAATTATCTCTTATTTTTAATAATTATTTATAGCTCTAATTGAGATAACTACAACTTTCACCCACTTCCAATATCCATCACTAGTCATCCATCATATTTTACTTCCTCTATCACTCTCTTCTCACATTCCAACTCCCATTCTTATGGTTTCTAAGGGGGGAGGGGGGGAGTGGGAAAGAGGGGAAAGGGAGTGTACCCATCCCTTATATAAAAGGTCCCCCTTTAAGACAGACAGACAGACAGACAGACAGACAGACAGACAGACACTCTCCTTGGCAGGGGAAGGCAGATTTATAGGAGACCAATTTCAGAGGGAGCACAGAAGAAGTTTTCCTGGCTAATAAAGATATTATGGGACACCCTGTGGTGTCTGCTCCATTGTAGGGCTTTTAATGGTATCTGAAAAACTGCAAAATTCTGTAAGAGGTACAATAACAAATCAATAGAGAAATCAGACCTGATAAAGATAGCAAACCATAATAATATGCAACCGGGCATTTTATATTCCACCATGTATGGAAAAAAAAAAAAAATGAAAAAACACAAATCTGACTGGTTGCCATGGACAACAACTCCAAACTGTCCATGAACTGCGTTGTTTTTTTTTAAAGCTGAAGTCCAGAATAAGCATATATTATCTAAATACAAGAGGCAAGTATATTTATACTTGGACCTTGGTGTGCTTTGTGTATTTCTTCCAGATCTGTGCAGTAAACAAGTGTGAAAGTTGGAGCTTCCTGTAATAAGACCAGTCACGGCTGCTCTTTCTCCTTGTGTAGGGTGACTGGTCTTGTGCCCGCCCCCTCCTGTAAATGTCTGCAGGCAGCCTGTAGTGGTTGCTGTATGTCTGCGAGCTGTATGTGTGCGAGCTGTATGTGTGCCATGTGTGCGAGCTGTATATGTGCGATCATCATCAACCTTTCTGCTGCTAATTCTCATGTGAAATTGTATGCAACATCCTGGAGGATTATTGAGGTGTGAATGGCTTTCACTGTAATTGGAAAGAACCATGAACAATCTACTTCGTTGTAATAAAATCCCAGCACAGTGCTTATTATGTTCCTCTAGAGGATTATGACCCAGATCACCGGTTCATAGTAAGTGAGCTGCTCTGTATAGACATTCTGAAATTCTTCAGAGCCCAATACATCCTCTACACCCAGGGTATCATCTCTACAATGACTTAGAACTTGTGACAGATCACACAGCAGGCCTTGTATATTAAAGCTGAACGGCAGGCGGAAAGCTGAACACACCTATGAAATACATAATGTATATGGGAGTCATTTTAACTGGCAAAGGAATGTATGCCACATGGCATGTATGTGTTCATCCAGTTCTGAGATTACCCAGCTCTGCCAGTTAGCACAGCACTGTCTGGCAGGGTAGGATATCTGATGTGTCTCTGCTGCAGTTCAGTAATATTTACAGGTCTTGCCCTTTCCCTTTCCCCAGCCTGTGACTGGACAGTAAAAGGAGCAGAGATGAGCTCACACTGATGAGCTCATCTTTCTGTCACTCTGCTCTGTCCTCCTAACAGTATATCGATTGGCTCTTTTTGCTGCTTTTCCTTTTTTCAACCTGAGCTCTGCTGTACAGGGTCAAAATGTTGGTTATCTAAGATGGAAATCCTATTGTTCTAGAACTACTGTATAAGAGAGGGGTATGCAGCCTCGGACCTACAGCCGTTGTGGAACAACAAGTCCCATGAGGCACTGCAAAACCCAGATAGGCCACAAACAGGACACCCAGAGCCAGAGGCATGGCAGGATTAGAAGCTCAAACCACTTCTTCAACTGGCTCCTGTGGAACAGAATAAAACGAAAAAATATACTCCCTTCTCTTCTCATACTACAAGTATGCAAGTACCGCAACTAGGAAGGTTTAGCCACCTTGCCAGCTAAGTGGTCTATGGAAACAGGTGGAAGTCCTTTGATGGCCTTCTCCACAGCATATGCATATGAATAGCACACCCATGTAGATCAGCAAGATAAAGGGGACCTGTAAGAATGGAAATATGGGACCTGCCGCTGCTGACGCCATCGTGGTCAGGATTACTGCCCTGGAGTCTGCAGAACTCTGGGCACAAATTTTATTAACTCTTCCAGTGGGGCTACCCCTGCACTGCAAGGGTTAGCTTCTCGTAAGCTGAGGAATGTACCATCGCTGAAGAGGAGGAGACAAGTGGAAGGGAGCGCTGTCACAGCCGGCCAGCTTCAAGAATCAAACAAATATTATATATATAATTTTTTGAGCAGTTAACCCTTGCAGTGTGGGGCTAACCCCCCCCCCCCC